GCCCCCGAGCGGCCCAGCGACCTCCGGATAGGTGGGTGCTGCGCCGGCGCCCCTGCCCAGCGCCTGGCCTTGTCTGAGGCTTGTGCCCCCTCAGGCTTCTACCCGGCCAACCACACCGACTGCCTGGTCTCCGCCCTGCACCACTGCTTCGACGGCCCCACTGGCGAGCTGGCCCACGCCTTCTTCCCACCCCACGGCGGCATCCACTTTGACGACAGCGAGTACTGGGTGCTGGGCCCCACGCGCTACAGCTGGAAGAAAGGTGGGACTGTGCCCTTCGCGCCGGCATCCCGGGAGTTCTGCATACGGCAGAGGGCTGGGGGGGGCAGACCCTGTGGCTATGACTATGGGGGACGCTGCTGGGGCGGGCGGTGCGGGCGGCTCCTCCAGCCGAGAACGCTCCCCTGCAGAGGGCGCTGAGCTGCATTCCTGGGGGCCTGGAACAGTCTTATCTTCCGTGGCTGCGGCCCAGAGTCGGCCTGAGCGCACGGGTGGGGCCGGGGCTCAGGCGCTGACCCCGGGCCGTAGGAGTGTGGCTCACAGACCTGGTGCACGTGGCGGCCCACGAGATCGGCCACGCGCTGGGCCTGATGCACTCGCAGCATGGCCAGGCTCTCATGCACCTCAACGCCACACTGCGTGGCTGGAAGGCGCTGTCGCAGGATGAGCTGTGGGGGCTGCACCGGCTCTATGGTGGGTGCCTCGGTGCCTGGGGTGGGCGGGTGCTCAGTGGGCCCTGGGCTGGCCCTGAGCTGCTGTGCTCCGCAGGCTGCCTGGACAGGCTGTTCGTGTGTGCGTCCTGGGCCCGCAAGGGCTTCTGCGACGAGCGCCGGAGGCTCATGAAGAGGCTCTGCCCCAACAGCTGCGACTTCTGCTACGGTGACGCCTGGAGTGGGGCCCGGTCTCCCCTTGGCCTGGGCGGGTGGGAGGGACCTGACACGAGTGTCCCTGCCCTGAGCAGAGTTCCCCTTCCCTACGGTGGCCGCCACCCAACCACCTCCCAGGACCAAAACCAGGCTGGTGTCGGAAGGCAGGAATGTGACCTTCCGCTGCGGACAGAAGATTCTGCACAAGAAAGGCAAAGTATAGTGAGTATTGGGCTTGGGCCAGGCACTGGGTGGCAAGTGGGGCAGCACAGCTGGACAGGCTCCCAGGGGCCTCTCCCCACAGCTGGTACAAGGACCAGGAGCCCCTGGAGTTCTCCTACCCCGGCTACCTGGCCCTGGGCAAGGCGCACCTGAGCATCATTGCCAACGCTGTCAATGAGGGTACCTACACGTGTGTGGTGCGCCGGCATCAGCAAGTGCTCACCACTTACTCCTGGCGTGTACGTGTGAGGAGCTGAGTCTGCACAGAGCGGGCCAGAGCCTGCAGATAAAGCACTTTCTCTCACGTCTCTGTGCTGATTTTTGGATGGGTAGAAGGCAGGCCAGCCCCAAGCAGGTGGGAAGTGGCCTGCACAGGATGTGGGGGGGTCCCAGGCCAATACACCCCCTTCCACAGTGGGATCCATAGACACCCAAGTGCCAGCAGCATCACCTGGGGTGAGCCCATGTGAAAGAGGCCACCAGGGAGTGGGCAGGACCCAGGGGAGGCCAGCAGGGCAGCGGTGCCAGGAGGGGCAAGGGCCTGGCCAGGTGGGCAGAGAGAGCCTGGTGCCCAAGCCTGGAGACACCCAGGAAGGGACAGGACACAGCAGAACTTCCTCCAAGAATAGTTTACTACATCTGAAAATGTAACAACAGCATGTATAAAAACCCACTGTGGCCAGTGCTGTGTGCAGCCAGGCCTGGCCTTGGATGGGGGCCTGGGTCCCCAGGGAGCACCTGGTTGTCAGGCAGGCTCAGGGTTGGCCCCTGCAGCTGACAACAGGGGACCCTCAGCCTGCTGCAGGCCAGGTCATGGGAGGGCTGTGCCACTGTACCAGCCAGATGCCTGCCCCACCCTTCTTAGGGGAGGGTCAGGAATATTGGACACCACAGCCCTGCCCTCCATGAGGAAAATGCAATTTAATTCTACAAATTTACAAACCAAAATAATATAAAAAACAAAAGGTGGAAAACCAAGATGAGGAGTCCAAGACTTTGGTGTCTCGACTCGGCACCTCCAGCCCCAGAAGCCGCGGCCAGGCGGACAGGAGCTGGGTCTGGACTCGCTGGGCACAGCCGGCTGGGCCCGGACGCTGTGTCAGAACTTGAGGCTGAAGCCAGGGCCAGCAGCCGAAGCCCCCTGGTTGGTGGTGGTGAGGTGGAAGCCTGTCTCCTTCAGGTCATCGTCCCCCTGTGAGGCAAGGTGAGCAGCATGAGGATGGTGCAGGGTTGGCTCAGCCCGGGGGCCCCCCCGGCAAGCCGGGCCCTCACCAGCTGGCTGTAGCCAAGGCCACCCTCCGGTGGCCGTGGGCTTGTGCCGCGCTTCACTCGCTGCTGCTCGCTCTTGGCAGGCCATGTGGGGAACATGGAAGGGTCGATGGGGAGTGGGGTCTCGCGGAAGTACTCATGCTTGAGGCCGTCCTCTGCGTTGATCCTCCTCCCAGGGAAGTAGGTCAGGAATCTGGAGAGTGCAGGGACACGGCACAGGTGAGAGGCTGGTGGGGGCCACGGTGGGCCTGGGCCACAGAAATGGGGAGGCCCTGTCCGGACTCACTTGTTCATGAGGTCAAAGCCCTGGTCTGACAGCAAGGCCCCGAAACGCTTGCGGAGGTTGTTGTAGGGGTACTCGCTGAAGGTCATTTTCTTTACTGCGGGAAGATCATTGTAGCCTGGCCAAATTTTCTCACTGGGGGTCCCTAGGTCCTGAAAGACAGGGCTATTTGAACCAACTGTGCCCTGAAAGGAAGGTCCCCCCACCAGGAGCATGTTGGCAACCAGGGCACAGGCCACTGAGGGCCCTGACCAGGTCCAGCTGCACCCTGTGGAGCTGTGTAACCTCTGCAGGACCACACCCACCTTAAACACTTTGTTGATCTGATCAATTTCTGACTTCCCGGGGAACAGGGGCTTCTGTGTCAGCAGCTCCCCAAAGATGCAGCCCACAGACCACATGTCAACGGCCGTGGAGTACTCCTGGAAGCCCAGAGGACACGGCTCAAGTGTGGGCACGATGCACCCTGTCGGGCCCCAAGGGGAAGGGTGGCCTTCGGACCCCTGAACTCACCTTGGCACCCAGCAGCAGTTCTGGGGCACGGTACCACAGGGTCACCACGACAGGGGTGTAGGCCTTCAGGGGTGAGCCATACTCCCGCGCCAGCCCAAAGTCACCCACCTGCAGGGACAGAGGTGCCTGAGGCCGGGTGGGGGGCAGGGCTCCCAGGTGGGGGTGGGACGGGTCCTGTGCTCACCTTGAGGATGCCTGCATGGCTCAGCAGCAGGTTGGACGTCTTGAGGTCCCGGTGCAAGATCCAGTTGTCATGCAGGTGTTTCACCCCACGAAGCAGCTGGATCATGAGAGTCTTCACTTCCCCTGGAACAGCAAGGGGTCACACTCGCCCCACCCCAGGGAGCCTGAAGACCTCACATGGGCAGACCCCTCCAGCCCAGGGTGGCTGTGTTCCCGGGAACAGGGTCATTGAGGCCACTACTTTGCTGAGTGCCCAGCAAAACAGCCAGGGACATTTCTGGGTGGCAGTGGCATTAACGCCCCCCAGGGTGCCAGGCCTTGGGTGCTGCCCCACCTGGCAGGAAAGGCTGCTTCATGGTCTCCATCAGGCTTTTGAGGTCATGTTCCACATAATTCATCACGATATAGATCTTGTCCATGTTACTGCCCACAACGATCTCCTAGGAAATGAGCAGCAGGCCTGTGGGTGGCAACAAGCCCCCCAGCAAATCCCCTGGTCCCACATGAGTCGTTCTGTGCACTCCTGGGAAACCTGGAACCCCGGCATGGCTGCCCACGGGCAGCAGGGACCTGCGTGCCACTTTGAGAGCTAACATCTACTTCTACGCTGCCCTGAGTCTGCTCTACCTGGAGCCCAGGATGGCCTGAAAGCTCCTCAGGGACAGGCTGCCCACTCAGCAGGTGAGCCACCCATGGGGCTGGGCCTCACCCTGACAGTCACAATATTGGGGTGCTGGGCCTTGAGGATGGTGTTGATCTCTCTCAGAGATGTGATCGGGAAGCCCTCCTTTTCCTTCTCCATCTTCAACCGCTTCAGAGCCACAATTTCATCTGTGAAGACAATTGTTTAAAGACAAGGGCTGAAAAAACACCCAAAAGAGCTATTGAGGCATCTACCAGGATTTTCACTTCTGTTTACCAGCCATTCACTCTGTATTCAGTGATGTGAGCAAAGCCCCAGGGTGGGGGAGTACTCAGTGTAAAGTACTTGACTGGACCCAACACACGAGAGAAGACAGCAACAGCAGAGGCCCTAAGCAGCCAGCCGCAGTGGTCACAGTTAAGCTTGGGCTGTCCCCATCACACGCCTGCCACTCCCCTGGCCTCATCACCCCCACTGGGCTGTGTCACCTGCCACTATTGTAAGCAGCTGAGCCTGAGTCAGGACAACCTCTGGCTTTGGAGGCATGGGGGGCTCAGGCCTATACCACCCAAGTCAGGACAGAGGGCCTGCAAGGTGCACTGTGGCTGAGGCACTACCACATGCTGAAGGCCGCACAGTGGCTGGAAGCCCAGGACACTCGATGTTCCTGCCAGAGGCAGCAGCGGGAAGACCAGTGGAGCTCCCCACAGGAATCACAATGTTGGGCTGAGCCTGCAGCAGCGTAGCAGACCTGCCCATCTCGGCACAGGACACAGTGGCTCTGCTGACCAGCCACCCAGAACCGCACAACTAACTGCCCAGGGAGTTCCCAGGATCTGCCCACCTGTCTTCTTGTCCTTCGCTCTGTAGACCACGCCATAGGTGCCCTCCTCGATCCTGTTCAGACACTGGAACTCCTCCACACTGCGGCAGCCCTGAAAGGATGTGCCAGTGTGAGGCATGAAAGCCACACCCGACCAGGGCCCCTGCACACCCACAGCTCACAAGATGCAGGTTTGGGAAAGCATGCCCTGCCCTGCGGCAGCTTTCCCAGCTGGCACCAAGGAGGCCCAGGCCTGGGGTGCTGTGCAGGCACTGAAGGGTATCTCGTTCTCCCCAGATCCTCAGGAGCCTTGGCATCCATCTAATGCTTCACACAGGGCCACTCAAGGGCAGACCCAACAGCCCAGCTCCTCATGCCCAGAATGCCTCTGTGCTGCGTGTGACCAGCACTGCAGGCAGTGATGGCCAGGTCTGCCCTCACAGCGGGTGGGACATCCCAAGTGGCACCACCAGGTGGGGCCTGGCCTGGGGTGGGGGTGGGGCCTCACCTGCAGGGCCGGCAGGTACTTGGGCAGCTCCTGCTTGAGCTCAATGGGCGACAGGGCTGGGGAGTCAGGCACGTAGTCGCCTTCAGTTGGGGCGCTGCTCTGTGGGGTCCCCTCACCCACTTCTTCCTCCCCTTCTTCACTGTCCCCCGAGTCTCGGTCAAATCGCGACTCTGGAACTTTAACAGATAAACCTAATTATGGAACTGGGAACAAGCAGGGATCTGGGTGCCTGGCAGTGCCACAAGTCTTGTGCCCTCCGTATGCGAGGCGGGTGCTGGGCCTGCCCCTTACACAAAGGGCGCAAGGTCTGTGGTCCTGGCGGGCTCAGCTGAGTCTGATGTGAGGACAGGGAGACAGGGGCTATGTGAGGATGCCATGGCCATGCTTAGAATTCATGATTCTAGGCCCCAGGGACAAAGCCTGTCTGCCTGCTGGGGCCAAACCAGACCTCCTGTGTGTGTGTTGTCCATGGCTGTGGACCCTCTTCCCCCTGGGGAGTGGACCTGGGTGACCTTTCCTAGCCTCGCTGTGCTCGTATCATGACAAACATCCAGAGTGGTGCCTCAGTTATAGCTAAACAATCAGGTCCTGATGGGCACCAACTGCACGTGGCCAGTGGTGTGGCCCCAGAAGTCCTCCCCAAGTGCTACTTCTGTTCTCCGCCATGCAGCTTTGGGGGAAACTGCACACTGGTGAGACACTGCCAGGCACGGCCACGTGTGCAGGATGGCTGTCTGTACCCACGGATGGCACATGTGTGAACTGTCACAGGGAGCCACTCACCGACCATGATGTGGTTTTCGTTCTCTTGCTCTTCATCTTCACTCATTTCTTCATCACTCACTTCTTCTGCAAAAGAAAATAGGTGTCTGGAGCCGGGCGTGGTGGTGCACGCACTGCAGAGGCTGAGGCAGTAGGATAACCATGCGTCTAAGGCCAGGCTTGACTACACAGTGAGTTCAAGGCCAATATGAGATACATAGCAAGACCAAGAAAGAAAAGAAAAAAGAAGAGAAGAGAGAAAGTGAGAGAAAGAAGGGAGGGAGGGAGGAAGAAAGAAAAGAAAAGAAAGAGAGAGAAAGAAAGACAGACCGAAAGAAGTAGGTGTCTGCTCAGGCAGCGTGTCAAGCTGAACCAGGCATCCACATCCGACTCCTCACAAGCAGTCCATCCTGTGCTCTCCTGAGTCCCAGAGATGGCAGCTGCAGGCAGGCAGTGTCCAGGATAGATTCACATTTGCTGCCTTGCATCCCCGCGGCCACCCTCCCTGACTGCTGCCGCTCACCTGCAGACTGCTCGGAGGCCTCCTCGGAGTTACTCCCTGTCTCTTCCTCCTCCTCCTCTTCTTCCTCCTCCTCCTCCTCCTCCTCTTCTGACTCCTCACTAGTGCTTCCTTCCTCCTCCTCCTCCTCCTCCTCTTCCTCCTCCTCCGAGCCTGAGCCGGACTCTGCTGCAGGAGAAAGTGAGCACAGTGAGCACTGGCTTCCCTGTGGGTGTGGTGGCGGTTACAGCAACCTGGGCCAGGCAGGCTCAGTACCTGAGGAGGACCCGGCCGAGCTGGTTTTCCTCTCGCTATCACTGACGTCCTGCAGGTCAGACAGCAGGTCTCGTTCTTCAATTTTTTCTTCTTTCACTTATGAAAGAAGCCACAAAAGGTGAATGTGGTGAATGTGGAAAAATGGTTTTATTTAATTTTTTCCCCCTGGTACCAGGGATTGAACTGAGGACCTTGCACTTGCGAAGCAGGCGTGGCAGCACTGAGCTACATCCCCAGCCCTAAGTAATGCTTTAAATCAACAAGGCAGTACCACCCAAAGTTAGAAGTACCCCTCACATACTAATTAGATCTTTTTTTTTTTTGAGACAGGGTCTCACTATGTAGTGAGACTGACCTGGGAGTCACTGTGTAGCCCAAGGAGGTCTCGAACTCATAGTGATCCTCCTGTCTCAGCCTCCCTAGTGCTGGGATTACAGGCGTGCGGCACCACGCTCAGCCTATCAGATCTTACTCTACAAAAAACAGATCATCTACTCACTTATTCATTGCTTTTTGGAGACGTTCTCACTGTCATTCAGGCTGGTCTGGAGCTCACTATGTAGCCCAGGATGGCCTTGAATTCAGCAATCCTCCTGCTTCAGCCTCCTGAGTGTGGGATTACAGGCTAGGATTACAGGTGTGTGCCACTCTGCCCAATTATCCACTCAAATTTAATTGAAAAACTAACTCCCAAAGGACCAAAAATAAATGTCTGGCTGAAAGCCACATGCCTTGCTTCTTGTGAAGGCTGGCAGCCCCTGGCAGGGTGCATGTCATTTCATTGCGACAAAGAGACTACTTAGCTGGGGGGGGGGGGTCTCCCTTCATTCCACAAACTGTTAAAGACACACATTGTGGTGTCCACGCCTCCAGGGAAGACCCTGGGTCCCACCTGGCTTCCGGCCATCTCCCAGCTCGAAGCGCTCCCGCGGTGGCCGCAGAGGGCTGCGGCTCCAGTGGCTGGCTTTCCCCTTGTCACCATAGTCCTCCCTCAGTGTGCGGTGGTGCGCAGAGACTGGAGCACACAATGGAGTGGACATTGAGCAATGGAGTGGACATTGAGCTGGGTCTTTGTATGCCCAGGCAGTGCACACACAGCACTAACACAGGGGTGTCCTGGAGTTGGGGCCCATCCCACCCTGCAGCAGGGGCAGAGTCCATCTCATGGACTGGTGTGCAGGGGCACAAGCTCAGGGAACCTGGGCACAAACCACTTCATTTCAGTTGCATCCTGCTCTCAGTGCAGCAACCTCCCCACCACATTCCACAAGTAGGCAGCTGAACACAGGTGCCCAGAGTAGTCTGCAGGGCCAGGCTGGGCCAATGGGCTCTGTCTTGGTCACCAGGGATCTATGCTCAGCTATGCTTCAGGGGCAGGCGGAGGCTGCGCTGTTACTGCTGCCTTCTCTCTGACTAGAGAGACTTCCCCACAGCTTCAAGGCTTGGCCCTTTCCGTGCCTTCGTTTGTCTTTTCCCCCAGTGGAACCCAGACCGTGAAGGACATGGTGTAACAGTAGGGAGGGGGAGCGTCTACACAGACAGGCACAGATGTAGACACACCCCAGAGGGACATGGCCTCAAGGGACACAGCCAGCCAACCCTCAGTGGAGACAGCATCAGTAACAATAGCAGCAGCACAGCAAGCCCTGTGGGGACAGCCAATCCCCCAAGTTGTCACCACCAGCTCATTTCCAACAAAACCACCAGTTCTTCAAGAACCAGCAAAGTCTGTTCAAAGAAAAAAACATCACTAGAAACTGTCCCTGAGAAGAACCAATGGGAGATCTTCACAAAAACGAGTGTGTAGACAGGGAGGGCTGGGGCAGCCCAGAGAAAGGACACTGGCCTGGTGTCCATGAGGGCCTGGGTTCCATCCTCGTTTAAATAAAACAAATGGACCTGAGGGACAAGAAGGGAGGGAAGCCACTGGCCGTGGGACTCAGTGGAGGACACACATGGTACCCACACACCTGAGACCTAGTGACCCTCAGTGCCCCTGCCACCCCATCCCTTGTGACAGAGTCGTCTGTGACCAGGACTCCTCTGTTACCCGACAATGAAATGCCTCCATCCATATAAAGAAAAGACAGGACCTTTAAAAATGTATTACAATGCTGGGTGTCGTGGCACACGCCTGTAATCCCAGCACTCAGGAGGCTGAGGCAGGAGGATCGCTATGAATTTGAGACCAGCCTGGGCTACATAGTGAGTTCCAGATCAGTCTCAACTACATAGTGAGACCCTGTCTCAAAAAACGGCCCCCCAAAAGTATTGCAAATATGTTCAGAAAACTAAAAGAGATGCAGAAAGTCAGAAAATGATGTTTGGTTGGGGATTTAGCTCAGTGGCTCCGCTGTCTGCCTCACAAGTGCAAGGTCCTGAGTTCAATCCCTAGTACTAAAAAAAAAAAAAAAAGAAAAAAGAAAAAAGAAAGAAAAAGAAAATGATGTATGGATGGGGAAATGTCAACAGAGACAGGAAACCAAAAGACCCCAAAAGTTCTAGAGCTGAAAAGCACAGCAGTGGACATAATCCACAGGAGGGACCCACAGGCAGACGTGAAAAGGCACAACAGTCACCAAGTGTTAAGGACAGGACTACAGTAACCACCTCATCCGAGGAACAGAAAGAAAGTGAGAAAGTACACAGAGCCAGTGGGACCTACAGGACACCAGCAGATGGACGAAATATGATCCTGAGCCACCAGGAAGGAGGAGGGAGGGGCAGAAAGCACCTGAAGAAATGACTGCTGGAAACTTCTTGTTTCTGGAAGACACAATGCTAACATTCAAAAGATCAACAAAGGCCTGGGGGTTTAGCTCAGTGGTGCTGCTGCCTGCCTCACAAGTGCAAGGTCCTGAGTTTGATCCCCAGTAGCAAAACACAAAAAAAAACAAAAGCTCAACAAATTTCAAGTAGGATAAACTCAAATCTACATGAGCCGGGCATGGTGGCGCACGCCTGTAATCCCAGCATTCGGGAGACTGAGGCAGGAGGATCACTGTGAGTTCGAGACCAGCCTGGGCTACATAGTGAATTCCAGGTCAGTCTCAACTACACAGTGAGACCCTGCCTCAAAAAACCACACACACACAAAAAAAAAAAAGAAAGAAAAAGAAAAAGAAAAAGAAGGAGACCTATGTGATACGCACACTGCAATGAAACTGTCCAGGGGAAAAGGAAGCCTTCTTCTTCTTCTTGTTTTTTTTTTTGGTACCGGGGATCGAACTCAGGTCCTTATGCTTGCGAGGCAGGCGCTGGAACCAGGGAGCTAAATCCCTGGCCCTAGGAAGCCTTCTTTATACACAGTTGGCAGGAATGGAAACTGGCACAACCACAGATTCCTAAAAAAGCTAAAACTAGGAATTCCATTTGACCAGCAACATTCCCCTTCTTGGTATCATCCTCAAAAAGTTAGAGACACCATATTACAGGGATAAATGCATTCCCTTGTTTACAGCAGCACAATTCATAATAGCTAGATCTTGGAAAAACCCTATATACCCATCAAAGATGAACAAACAAAGAAAATCCATAAAGATGGATAAATGTGAGTCATCTGTAGGAAAAGATGATTTTAAGACCATAATGTGAAGCAAAATAAGTAACATACAGAAGGTTAAACATCTCTTATATGAGAATCCAAAATGTAAATAATTTAAAGAGCAAAACAAAAGACAAGACAGGGAGGCAGACCTTTTGCTGTGGGGAAGAGATCAATGGACAGAGGGAAGAAGACATACAAAGGACCTGGATGTGATGATACATCAATGCACCAACTGTCCGTGTTGGGTGCATTCACTATGCACCAACACATGCCAGAAATGAACACACATGCCAATGACATCGCCCAAAGACAGAGAGAATTGTACAAGCAGCAAAGAAAGAGGAGCCACACAGCAGGGGCCACTGCAAGATCGTCAGCAGATGCCTTGCAAGCTGGGAGATAAGAGGCGGGGTGCTGACAAGTTCAAAGCCCTGAACAAAAAGAACTCTCAGCCACAGCCCTGTACCTGGCAAACCATTCTAGGGAAGGAGGGTGAAGCCAAACCAAGAGCCGCAGGCTCATCACCACTTAGCCTGTCTGCTGCCACAGCCGAGGAGACCCAAATGCAAGTCGCACGAAGAGATAAAGACCTCAGGGCCCTGCTTGGACAAGCCAGCAACACCCTACCTCAGAAATAAATAGGGTTGGAATGCAGCCCAGGGTGAATTCCCTGGGTTCAATCTGAAATACAGAAGGAAAAAGAAAAGAGAGCTCTTTAAAGACAAATGCCTATGACAACAGGGATGCCCGAGTTATGGCAGCATCCGTGGCCACGCACTTCCTGCCTGGCACTGAGTGGACAGAGACTGAAAATTCAGTCACCAGCTTACTTTCATGGGCGAAGTGTCCATGTGATCTGGGGACATCAATGACTACCTCAACTGGGCACAGAGATGCAGGGAACAGTCACACAACACTGCAGTGAAGCTGGTTTCAATTCAGATCAGTGTGCTAACACTCTCCATGGGACCACATGACACAGATGAGAATACACACAAAGGAGAGGTGACCGAAATGTAGACATACCACTGCAAACATCGTGACATGAGACACTACAGAAACTGGGAAAGTAGACCAAAAAACCAGTTGTACCTGTAGAAAAGAAACAGCAAATGCCAGCCTTGAAAAGGAAGAAATCCTGGCACTAGCTACAACATGGAAAAGACTCTAAGACTTCCTGCTGAGTGACACAAGAAGAGAGGACCACTGTGTGGTTCCATTTGAGAGGCAACCAGAGGTGTCAGATTCCTATCAACAGAAAGCAGAACAGAAGGCTAAGGTGGGATGATCACAAGTTCAAGCCCAGACTGGGCAACTTAGGGACTCGGCAAGTTCCTGTCTCAGACCAGATGTGGTGGCACACAACTGTAATTCCAGCACTCAGGAGGCTGAGGTAGGAGGATCACCACAAGTTCCAGGCCAGCCTGAACTACATAGCCTGTCTAAAAAAAGAGAGAGAAAAAAAAAGATCCTGTCTCAAGATAAAAAATAAGAAAGGGTTTTGGTGGTCAATTAAGAGGAGTTTTCAGTTTCACAAGAGGAGTTCTGGAGTCAGATGGTAGAGATGGTTGCACAACAGCAAGAGTGTACTCAATACCACTGCATGCACACTTAAAACTGATGAAGATGGCAGATTTAAGTCATGTGTAATTCGCCACAATTTTTGAAGCTGGAAGGAAAGGACCAAAGAGAGCACAGGGGCCAAGCAGCCATCTCTTGTGTGAGCAGAGGTCAGCACAGCACAGCAGGGATAGCTGGGCCCACACCCCGCGTACCTTCCCTGCGGGCCTCACGCTCCTTGCGCCGCTCCTCCGCCCTCCGCTCCCGCTCCTTCTGCTCCCGCTGCTCCTTCTGCTGCTCCCTCATCTTGCGCTCGCGCTCCCGTTTCCTCTCTAACTGCTCCAGGCGGTCCCTGGAAGAAGCAAGCACCAGCCATCATCTCCACCCATGCCACAGCAGCCCTGTCCAGGTCCTCATGGCCACCACGCCACAAAGGCTTCATCAGAAAGGAGGACTTGTGCACAACCCCTGGCTGGGTCTGCAGAACTGCAGACCGAACCAGGGCCAGCAAAGCCCCCAGAACCTGCTCTGCTGGGATGAGCCTGCTAACAGCCCCATCACATGAGGAACACAGAGTCCAAGCAAGAACCCAAGGTAGATTCAGTTGACTGGAGCCAGGCATGGTGGCGTGCAACTGACTCCAGCATTCCACAAACTGAGACAGGAGGATTGTGAACTCAAGCCCAGCCCAGGCTGCACAGTAAGACCCTGCCTTGCAAGCGCAAGGTCCTGAGTTTTATCCCTGGTACAAAAAAAAAAAAAAAAAAAAAAAAAGAATCGTACATTTAGCATATCATTTTAATTACTGTTATATGTACTATCTTTATTTATTTATTTATTTTGGTGCTGGGGATCGAACTCTGGTCCTTGTGCTTGCAAGGCAGGCACTGGAACCACTAAGCCAAATCCCCAGCCCTATATGTACTATCTTTAAAAAGGTATTTTCTTTTCTTTTCTTTTTTTTTTTTTTTGGGTTTTTTGAGACAGGGTCTCACTATGTAGTTCAGACTGACCTGGATCTCACTATGTAGCCCAGGCTGGTCTCAAACTCACAGGGATCCTCCTGCCCCAGTCTTCTGAATGCTGGGATTACAGGAGTGCACCATTAGTAATTGCTCTAGAAAGTGCAATACACATCCCATAAGATTAACTAGCCAGGTGTGGTGGCACATGCCTGCAACCCTGGCTACCCTGGAGACTGAGGCAGGAGGATTGCAAGTTTGACTCCAGCCTGGACAGCTCAGCATAACAGTCTCAAAAAGGTCTGGGAATGTAGCACCCCAGGGTTCAAGCCCTAGTACTACAAAAGAAACAAAAAATACTAAAGCACAGAAACTTCATTACAATCTAGCTCCTTGTCTTCTGGTCTCCACTGGCAATCTGTTACTCACTGCACAGAGATATAGTAACCAAAGAGCCTAAAAAGGGCCACACTGGCAGAATCCCTTCATAAGCTCCTCAGTGGTCACTTCAGAGGTCTCTTCCTTTCCTGAAGCTCAAGCCACCAGGGGGGCAGCACTTCCACTCAGCTGGAAGTGACTTCAGTAATTCTCCTAATTACGTTTGCTAGCAACAGGTCCCTCCAAACTTTGCTCACTAGAAATGTCTCTGCTCCCCTTCACAAAGAGCTGCATCCCTTGCTGGTGCCACCCCAGTGCTTCTCACTTCTGCCAAACCATTCCCAGTGCTGACTGCCATGGGGCAGTTTGATGGCCTCAGGGACTCCAGTCTCCTGCTAAAGGTTTACTGGGCTACTGGCAAATATAAACATATGGCTTTTGTCATCAATACTGGCAGATTTTCAGCCACTATTTGCAAAAGTATCTCTCCATTCTTCTCTCCTGGGACCCAGCCCTGCACAGACTGCTGCAGTTTCCAAGCACTGGTCTGGTCCACGTTCAAGGGGTCATCATGGTATCTGCATCCAGGTACTGGTTATGTGGAACAGGGGCTGTTTTCAGGGTGCATTCTCAGGACTGGCACAGGGTAGCAGCTTGAGTGTGGTCCAGGGTCTGCTGCATGTGCCCACCACATTTGCAACTTCCACTAGCAAATCCTGCCAAGAAGTCACATCCGGCCAGGCGTGGTGGCGAATGCCTGTAATCCTAGCACTCGGGAGGCTGAGGCAGGAGGACTGCAGAGTTCGAGACCAGCCTGGGCTACAGAGTGAGTTCTGGGTCAGTCTCAACTACATAGTGAGGCCCTGTCTCAAAAATCCAAAACAAAAATCAAAAAACAGGAGGTCACATCCACTGGGCACAGCGGGTGGCAGGGAGCTGTGGTTCCCATGACCACACTGTGGTGGACTGAGATGGGCAAAGCAACTTCCAGGCCAGCCAGCCACTTCCTGCTGTGCTCCCCTCAGGGCCCTAGTTTTCCAAATGTGCACTTCTTAGGTTACCCTCTAGTTGGCTACCAAACACAAATCTGGTGTGTTTACCAATCTGTCTGGCTTTACAGCTACTTTTTTGCAGCCTGGCCCACACATGCCACTGCCCTTCTGCTTTGCTTTCCAGGCAATCCATAGAAAAGGATGACTTCCTCTACCAACCTGTGCTCCCACCCCAAGCACTCCATGGGACAGAGCACTTAGCCTGGGCAGCACACACTAACAGTGAACCTTGGGATCCCCACTGGACTGAGCCCATGACTGCTGGGCCTTAGTGGCTCCCTTCTGTCCCACGTCAAGGACCCCAATACTGAAGACCAGCACACTCTCTCCATGCTGCTCAGGGGCAGTGGCTAGGAATAGTCAACATGTGCAGCCTCTGCTCCAGATACGTTCCTTCATGCAGCAGGCCAGCTCTCTCCTTCCCTGGATGTGAATACAGAGGCAGACCATGCACAGAACTTGGCCTGGGCCTCAGAGAACAGAACTGGGATAACCTCCACCCCTTCTTTCAAGTCTGAGCCAAGAGATGACCCAGTGGTGCCTTAGCTCCCAGACTGTCCCAATGCCTTGGTGGTCTCATCTCTTATTAGTCTGTCCTTTCTTATTTGAAAGAACAACTGCAGCCTGTTTCTGATGTGACACAGAGAACCTAAAGCAATCCATTTCCCTGGGTACTGGGCAGTGCTGAATGCATCAAACAGACCACCTGCAGCACCAGTCCTGTGTTGGGATTCACATGCATGACATTAGCTGACTCTCTCTGGAATGCTTGACTCTACCATGACTTGAAAACAGCCAACCTCTGAGTACATACAACCCAAGAGAAGCCCCTCCCCTGCTGATGCTGCAGGGTCCAAGGTTCAGAGATCACCCAAGACCCTGCACCTCCCTTCCCAGGACCGTGCCCCACATCTGGTCTCAACCTTCTTTTCTTCTTTGCCTGGATCTCCATCTGGGACCTGGCCTGCACATCCCGTCCCTGATCCATCACAGTGGGCAGCAACCCCTTCTGGCTCCTCCAGTGGGCAGGACGTTGACATACCTGAGCCCGCAGTTACCTTCTCTGTCAATTCACACCCACCCATCTGCCAGATGCAGTAAAACTCCCAGGCTCTGGGACGATTCTTATAGCATCACCCAGGTCTACAGTCCTGTGTTCCTCTGTCCATGAAGCCTGCTCCATCACACTTATTCCCATTCTCCCACTGCCCTGACAGACACAGCACAGCCCTAATGTTCCTGAGAGGGCCAGGCCTCACCGCTCTCTCCGCGAGTGCTCTCTTGCCATCTCCCGCCGCTTCTGTCTCTCCCACTCCCGGCGGGCTTTGTCTTGTTCTTCTCGGTGGCGCTTACGACGTTCGTGTTCTCTTTCCTTCTCTTTTACTCTGGTGTGCTTCCCTGTCAGGCAGTAACAAGTGTCATGCATAGGCCTCACTTCCTAAAACTTCAACATTAATCCAAAACAGACTTACACAGCGACTAAAAGAAATCATTTCTCTCAAGTAACTAACTTAACATGCAATGCATCTGTAAACCTCTTGGTTTCCAGCCACACACTACAGAAAACACCTGCTAAAGCTGGGGGTATAGCTCAGTGGCATTGCAACCTGCCTCGCCAGCACAAGGTCCTGAGTTCGATCCCTAATACTGCCCCCCAAAAAGAAAGAAAACACCCATTAAAACAACTTCATAATAAAAAATTAAATGAACACATATACACACATATAACTACTTCACAAATTCTATGCATTGTCAGCCACAGTAACTAGAGAACCACAGCAGCAGCTGGTACACTGCTTTCAAGAGAGCCTGAATTTGAGAAACCTGGTCCATGAGTTGAATTTATGGATGTGTATTTGCCTCCTCGTTCACCTGTGTTAAGAGCTAAATTCTGAGCCAAATTTTCTCAGTTAATAATAACTGAAAATTACAGATTCATTTTCATGTTCATTTCTTTTGTTGTTGTTGTTTTTAGTTTTTTGAGACAGGGTCTCACTACGTAGCTGAAACTGACCTGGAACTCACTATGTAGCCCAGGCTGGTCTCGAACACACAGCGATCGTCCTGCCTCAGCCGCCCCCTCTCCAGTGCGGGGATTACATGTGTGTGCCACCACACCCAGCTCTCACGTTTATTTCTTAAAAGTCATAAAATCAATCAAATGTTTTTAAAAAAGAAAAAATAGTAATTTCATATTCAGTTACAAACACCCAAAGCAGCTGGGTGTGGTGGCACATACCTACAATCCCAGCAAACTGGAAGGCAAAAGCAGGAGGATCATGTGTTTGTTACCAGACTACAAATAGCTGGATCCTGCATCAAAACAAGTAAATAAAAGCCCAGCCTGGTGGTGCACACCTGTAATCCCAGCATTTGGTAGGCTGAGGCAGAAGCTCTGCAAGTTTGAGGCCAGCCTGAACTACAAAGGGAGACCCCGCCTCAAAAAAACAAAACAGCAACAACAACAAATCAAGTAAGTAAACAGAAACAAAAGGAAACCTCAAGAAATATAAAACTATGTGCAATAAGATTCTAATTATGAAAACAGTGTGATTATCAAAAAGCCAAATAAATAGAAACAAAACAAAACCTTAAGAGATATGAAACTATTTGCAATAAGATTCTAAGTATGAAAACACTGTGATTATCACTAAGCAGAATTATAATTTTCATCATTTTAATTATCTATTTTTTTCTTTTTCTTTTTTTTTTTGGTACCAGAATTGTGACACTGAGCTAAATTCCTGGCCCTTAATTATCCATTCTAAATAAACTACAACATATTAGTGTCACAGTTGATTGAAAAAAATCAGTCACAAAGAGCAAAGGGATGGTAACCTATAATTCTAGCACCCCAGGAGGCTGAGGCAGGAGACAGTAAAATATGAACCCCACCTGGACAATGGACAGACTCTGTCTCAAAAAACAAAAAAACAAAAAAACAAAAAAACCCAAAAAACAAAAGGGCGGAGGATATAGCTCAGTGTGAAGACCTTTGGTTCAGGGACAGGGATGTAGCTCAGTGGCTACACGACTGCCTGGCAAGTATAAGGCCCTGAGTTCCATTCCTGATACCCGGAAAAAAAAAAAAAAAAGATGCTGAAGACCCTGGGTTCAATCCCTAGTAAAAAACAAAAACAAAAAACAAATCCAACAACAGAAAGTTGTTTAATTAACCAAATGTATTTATAATGAGATTTAAATGAAGACCCAGAACCAATTTTTCCAGTACCAGTAAGAGCCTTTATTTGTTTTGGTTTTTTTATTTGTTTCTTTGTTTGTTTTGAGACAGGATCTCACTATGTAGTTGAAACTGACCTGGAACTCACTATGTAGCCCAGGATGGTCTCAAACTCACAGTGATCCTCCTGCCTCAGCCTCCCCAGGGCTGGGATTACAGGCTTGCATCACCACGCCCGGCAAGAGCCTTTATTATTTAACTAATTTTTTTTTTTTTTTTGCAACACTTTTTATTTTGAGGCAGGGTCTCTAAGTTGCCCAGGTTGGGCTTGAACTTATTATGATCTTCCTGCCTCAGTTTCAGAGTACTGGAACTAGAGGAGTGCACCTCAATGTCCAGAACCTAAGAACCGCTCCTATTGGCATGATATCAAATCTCTCATCAAGCTAAAGCCACTAACTTGGACTCAACCAAATACCCATTCTGGGGGGAGTGTTTTTTCCTATCTTTATACAATTACGGTAGTTTTGTAGGTAAACAATCTACTCTAAAACAATATAATGAAGGAGAAAAAGCAAAAAGTAAAATGATACAGTTATTGCAAACGATCTACAATAAATTGTTCTTTTAGCTAAAATTTTATTTTTTCTCTCCACTGTGCTCTAGAGAAGGAAGATCATGAAGGATATAACAATGACTTCAAAGATAACAAAGATTTCTTACCTCCTTCTGCTGAATGGCTACGGTGCCTACGCTTTTCTTTTCTCTTTTCATCTTTTCTGTGATGGGCCTTTTCCTTCCGAGACATTTGTTGGGGTGGTTTGATAGCAAGAGAGTCATCTTCCTCTCCTCTGAAATAAAATACAACACACGTCATCATGCTGGGGAAATGCAGAGAAACAGGATATTGCAGAGTTTCTCCAGCCCAGAAAAAAACAAGGATTCAAAATGAAATAAAGGTAAATCTGAGCCATCATTTAAAAAGATTCATAAAAGAGAAACATGCGAATGGGTGGGGGATGTAGCTCAGTGGCGCTGAGCCAGACTGGCAAGTGTAATGTCCTTAGTTCGATCCCTGGTACAAAAAAAAAAGGTGGGGGGGAGGGAAGTGAGGGCAGCCCACTTTCTGAACCCCCTTGAGAGACAGAAGCTTTCTTTCTTTCAATAAATTCTTCCTACTATTAATAAAAAATAAATAAAAACAAGCAAAAATAAATAACAAAAGGCCAGGCGTGGTGGCACATGCCTGTAATCCCAGCACTTGGGAGACTGAGGTAGGAGGATCGCTGTGAGTTTGAGACCAGCCTGAGCTACACAGTGAGTTCCAGGTAAGTCTCAATAGTGAGACCCTGTCTCAAAAAACCAAAAAAAAAAAAAAAAAGTTATTTTAATTCTAAAATTCAAGCTATTTTAAGACTCAGGTGAAAAGTGTGAGAATCAATGTGGTTTGTGGAACAAAAATACCCTTTGTAAGGGAGGAAGGGAATGATCAGTGTCGTATGGTGATGCATTCACTGGCATGTAAAAATGTAAAAAACTGCATACTTTCAGTATATATAGTTCATTTTGTAATTAAGATGCTTAAAAAGGACCCAAAATTTTATTAAAAGATTTAATGATCTAAAAAATTCATTTAGGCTGGGATTTGGCTCAGTGGTTCTGTCACCTGCCTCGAAAGTTCAAAGGCCTGCATTCAATCCCCCAGTGCCAAAGAAAACAAACAGGGCCAGGAATTTAGCTCAGTGGTTCTGGCAACTACCTCGAAAGCACAAGGACCTGAGTTCAATCCCCAGTACCAAAACCAAACAAACAAACAAACAAACAAAAAAAAACCCCCGAAACAAAACCCAAAATTTTAAAAATTCACTTAACAGTATCTTCAACAGATTCTATACCACCACAATGTTGGAAAAATTCACATTCTTGGCTTCCCAAGATAAGTATTCAAACTTAATTTGTGGTCGTAGTTCCTCTGATTATCTCAGAAGATATGAGAAGGAAACCAAAGATGAACTACGTGGCGCACGCCTGTAATCCCGGCACTCGGGAGGCTGAGGCAGGAGGATTGCTGTGAGTTCAAGACCAGCCTGAGCTACATAGTGAGCTCCAGGTCAGTCTCAACTACATAGTGAGACCCTGTCTCAAAAAACAAAACAAAACAAAAACAGAAATAAAAACAAAAACAAAAAGATGAGCTACTACAGCACAAAGTGAAACAGCAGAACATGAGAACATGTGGGTCTTAGTGTAAGTGCTATTGATAGCAATCCCTGTCCACATTCTCTTCTGTATTGTGCAAAACCTCAGAATTGCAATACAGGGCAAACATTTAAATATATTATCTAAAAGGTGCTAACTTGACTGGAGAATCTTCAGACAGACAGGAATACATCCTTGTACAGTCTTTTCATGAGAAGAAGGATGAAGTGATGACTGATAGCACAGACAACCAACTGTGAAAGTTTAGCAAGGCCCTGGACTGTAGGGGGCTCCCCGGTCTCTCTGCATACCCTTCTCTTCATCAACTTGAACATTTTCTCACCTATCTTCCATAGAGTCCTCTCTTCTGTACGGTGAATTCCTGATTGTGATCTCCATGCGATGATCTCTCAGCTCCCCCTCCTCAAGGGAATCCCGTTTGGAATCCCGGTCATCAGACTAGGAAGCAAAGAGAAAATATGTCATTTTCCTTACAGATAGGCATATTTTTAAATGATAACCAAAGTTTGCCAACATCTCAGAACAAACTTCCATAGATAGTTTGCTAATGTTACAAATTATAAAAAATTTTATTCAAATCCCACAACATTAAATTACAACTCTGTAACTCAAAATTTTATGAAAACTTTAAAATCAGGATTTATGACAGCGGACATTAGACTTTATGGTCATTATGTTAGTGGCTTATTGGTCAAAACTGAGGCTTAAGTCATATTTTACACAGCAAACACTTTTCAGTATCTATAATACTTGAAAAATGATCTGTTCCTAATCCAACCAGAAATACTATCAGTGTTTTAATCAATTACTAAAAAACTTTTTTCTGAGTATGTTATTACACAAACCAAGAAAGATGACAACACTCATTAATATTAATTTTAAGGCAAGTTCCCACTACATTAATATTTGTAAATGGAATTATGAATATGCTAATAATGAAACTAGAAAAATTAGTCAAGTTGCACTAATGATTCTAGGTTCAGAACATTTTATTCACCATGTAGACAGTCTCATCTAGACACAGCTTCAGTGTGTTATCAATCTGCGTCAATGTAAACTGAGTATGTGAATGTTTTTGTTAATTTTTAAAATAGATTTTGGGCTCACCTGAGACATTTGGAAGTACAAAAGAACTTCACCGAAGAAGCGTTGTTCTGATGGAAAAATGAGGGCAAACAAATTAAATCTCCTTTAAGAAAACCACTTACTTAAAAAACATAGCTTACATTTTTTAAGCGTTTTATCTCTGCTTTCTCCTCTTGTTCCTTCCTTCGTTTCTTTTCCTGGAGAATTTCATCTAAAGTTTTCACTTTCCAAGAGTCCTTTTCATCACCCATTTGAGTTACAACACTGCAAAAAGAAAAATAATTCAAGCAACCTAGGGATGCACCAAGGTGTGGTTGATGCTCCATTGTTCCTGAACACTTAAACTTAGTCAGTTTTGAGTGTTTCAAAGCCCTCAGAAGAAGAAAGAACTCTGAAAAGTGACTGCTGGGCTCTCACCTCTTTCCTGTCACTTTTGTAAGGTCCTGGGCAACTTTGTTCACCTCGGTACACTTTTCCATGGAATGGGAACATCACCTACCTAATGGTCCAGTAAAAACCCTTAGCTATCCAGTTAGACACCCAGTTACAAAAAGAAAAACAAAAACAAAAACAAAAAACAAACAACCCTTAGCTCACTGCCTGGCACTCATCAGGCACCGCCTTTGATGACAAAACAAGGTATCAGGGAGACCACTTGGGCCACTGGGCCCTGGACAGGTGTACCCTCCCGCACAGACTTCGGAGAGATCTGGGGTAGGGGGCGCCCGGTGAAGGTGCACTCGCGGACAAGGCTACCTGACCCGGGAGCGGGGCTCCTATGTCCTTGGGCTCAGTCACGCAAACGTGAAGCTCAGCACGGCAGGGGTTGGCTCCCGGAAGCGCCTGGCCGGCCACCTCCTCTACCCGAAGCTCTGCGCGGGGCGAGACTATGCGGGAGCTGGGGTGGGGCGCCCGGTGAAGGTGCACTCGCGGACAAGGCTACCTGACCCGGGAGCGGGGCTCCTATGTCCTTGGGCTCAGTCACGCAAACGTGAAGCTCAGCACGGCAGGGGTTGGCTCCCGGAAGCGCCTGGCGCGCCACACAGCCCGGCGCGCGCCAGGAGCGTCTATCACTTCCTGCGGCGACGCCGACTGATGACGCCATAAGGAGACATGGCTCGGATTCTCCAGTCTGGGACTCTGAGCAACAGCTCCCATCGCGCACAAGGATGGCGTCACTTCCGGGATCTGCGCGGATCGATGACGCAGGACTGAGGGGGCAAGATCTCCAATCCACTACTCGAGAAACCGCAGCGCCTGACGACAGGATGTCGTCATTTTCCGGAAGTGATGTGTTGATGCATGAGGGCGCCCTGTAGTACAAGACTAGGCGAATTTTGATGCTCCTCTGAGCTGCTGAGTCAAGAGCCTGGCTTCGGGCTTGTCCCGCACAGCAGTCGGCGACCGCTTGGGCAGAGGCGGACTTTTCCTCTGGCGCCACGATCTGCCTGAGCCTGACCCTTCCCCCCCAGGTGCGGTCCCTGCGTTCCCCCGCCCTAACATCTGCGGCGCCTCAGCCTGTGGAGCCCCTTGCTTGGTCTTGTTTCCCATCCATGCTCTGGTGAACTCGAGTTTCCAGATGAAGAAAACGTCGACCTCTTACGGCCACCCTCCTGGTTCTACGAATTGTGTCCAGTGGCCATTGCTTTGGGCCAACCCCGCCCTTTGCTAGCGGACCAGACCAGAGCAGAATTATACGTGCTAAAGTTCCAAGCCACCAAGTGGGAACTAAGTTGTTTTTCTGACCTTCCGAGAACTTGAGAGCAAAATAAGACATCTTCAAGTAGGCAGTAATAATCAGCATAATTAGTTTAAAAAAAAAAGGGAAAGAGACTATAGAGTGGTGCAGGGTGAGGGGCCTTGGAATTCTTTTCCTGCCAGAACAAAATGCTTGCTTTGCATGCCCCAGCTCTTATTTTGCCTACTGAATTCTCAGTGACTTGGGGAAGCCTTCATTTTTAACCCCACTTCATGATGGAAACTGGTGAAGGCAATAAAATATCCACCTTGGTCATTTCAGTACTATAAATGCAAGGGTTACACACACACACAAAAAAAAAACCACCAAAAATAAATTAGTATAACATTTACCTTTGCAGAATAACAGCCATTGACAGTTGCCACTATGGCTACTTAATTTAGACAAAAATAACCAGGAGACATACACAGGATTAATGACACAGTAGAAATTTATTACCACAGTACAAATAACAAAAGCTCACTAAATTACTTAACCATTTTCCAGGAAGTGTTAATCTACTTATGTCAATACTGAAACAGGTGACATAGAAAACACTACAAATACTTTGGGTGATATATTTTTAGCTCTCCCCAAGTTTGGTATAAAGCAAATAGGATTTGGCTCTGATGCAGATTTGTCGATATGAATTTCAAGTTTCCCAGTGTAGGAATGCAACTATGTCTGTAGCCCTGTAGAAGCGGCATCTATAAACCCTTGGGAAGGCACAGACTCAAATCTGTCTGCAAACAGCCCAGAAATTGCAAATAAATGGAATGCATTTTACAAGAAATGGAAATGAAAACAAAACAATGGACAAATAAGACTTGGCAAGTTGGAACACTTTCGAACTGAATTTGGACATCTGAACAAGCTGAGCAAGCAAGGGTCCAACAGAAAATTCAGAATCACAGCCTCCAGGAAACCCGGATGAAATACTTCAGAATCTGCAGCTTTATGGGAAACAGCCAACTCAGGGTCAGCAGGACCTCAGCCATCTGCTCTTGGCTCCTTGTCTAGGAAAGATGCAGCCTAACTGATCAGGAGAGTTGGGACATTGGAATTTATAAATTATAAAATGTACCAGCAAGCTAGTAGTGGTGGCACAGCCTTTTATCACTGCACAGAGGGAGGCTGAAGCAGGAAGATTGAAAGTTGAAGTCCTCCTTCGGCACTTTAGCAAGTGCTGTGCCTTGCTGGGAATGAGCTCAGCTCAAAAGACCTTGGGTTCAACCCCTGATACTGAAAAAAAAAAAAGTGGCACTGAAAAAAAAGTGCTGGCAGTTTAGCGATAGGTAGAATGCTTACCTAACATGTTTGAGGCACTAGGTTTGGTCCCCAGCACCACAAAAAAGAAAAAAAATGAAGAGGCCCCTACCAAGCCACATGTAAAGGCTTAAATAGAATGTTGGTCAAAGACTAAATAGAGAGGATTTCTATCTGTAACAACCTTACTTTTTTTCCCACCCAGGGAAATGGTCCAAATACTTTCAAGCCTTAGAAGAATATCACAGATGTGAAAAGCCGTGTTGGGTATCTATCCACACTGACCCACGTAAGTGACCATCAGAAAAGCAGGAAGTTAAAGCTACCAGTTTCGTGACATATATTTTAAAGGCATGCTACAAAGCAGATCTCCATTTGGTTGACACTTTTTGTATAGCATTTTTAAAAAATAGTTTCTGATTTGTGTTTACTTTTCTCAAATGAAAGACACATTGTGGATTGTTCAAGAGTTCCGGGCAGGCAGATTATTTTAATGCTGATACACAGGAAATTATGACTATCAAAATTTTAGAAAAGCTTTTTATGTTTCTAAGTGGCAGAAAGTTTTTGTTTTCAGTACTGGGAATGGAACCTGGGGTTGTGATGCTAGGCACGTGCTTCACCACTGTGCTACACTGCCAGTCAAGGGAAATTTTCTAAAATTGGAAGTCTGTTCATCTCCAAGCATGGGTGTAAGGAAGCAGATGCTCCAGCTCAGGAGATAAATGAGCTGTGTACAAGGCACAGACAATAGCATGGATGCAGGAGGATCAACCCAATGTAAGAAACAACACCTAGCATCAGCATTTCTACACGCACATCTATAACAGCTTGCTGAGGACCATGCTATAAAAGGAGTACATAAAGGTAATAAAAAATATTGCATCTAGGCCGGGGATTTAGCTCAGTGGTTCTGCCTCCTGCCTCGAAGGCTCAAGGTCCTGAGTTCAATCCTGGGAACTCCCCGCAAAAATATTGCGTCTGTACAGTCATAAGCAGATGGCCAAGCCAGCCATGGGTTCACCGCTGTCCTGGAAACATGTTCAGAGCACTATTGGGATTGGCAACTGAGCTGTGCACTGAGGCCAGGGGAAGAAATGTAGGCTGGGCCAGGGCCCATCGCTGGCCATGGCACTGGCTCCTGGTCTGTGCCTACCCAGGATGAGGGAAAGTCTCAAAGGCAGCTTTGTAGGAAATTACCTCACTTTTTAATTATTTTGGAAAATCTCTGGTTTTCATTTTTGGTCCACACATTTAGAAAATCGAAACAGGCTTCGAGCCACTTGTGAGGTGGGGGGGTTGGGCACATCACAATGGGCTGCTTCCTGTTCCACACAGGCAGAGATCTGAAGAATACCCGGAAGCCCACACTCAGCCAGGTCTGGGGGGCCAGGCCAAGGGCTCCTTCGAGCAGTCACCACGTTCATGCTGATAGCGTGGCAGCCATACTGGCAAGAGGACAGGGTGGCCCTGCAGGTCAATCCAACCCCCACCACCCTGACCAACTCCCCTGCATTTTCTTTAGTTTTAGGGGAGCAGAGAGGAAGGAAAAGAAAAGTAGGCAGTCACATGAGACAAGGTCTCCCCAGTACAGGTGACCTGTGTACCTGCACACAGCAGGCCTCATCCTTAGAAGGCAGCTGCAGGCTCAAAGACCTTGTCTTAGTCCATTGGCATGGCATGATTTTTCAAGTAGTTAGCACTTAATGACAGGTACTTATTGCTGTTTGTTTCTGAGAGATTTTATCTCCAGGATGGACTACTTTGTATTTTCCAGGAGAGAAGCCAACTGGAAAACCAGAGAACCAATTATGGCTGCTATAGAGCTAGCAAATAGGGACAGGAAATGAGAATGGGCCGACCAGCACCCAGGCTATGGCTCACAGGGAGAAGGGCTGGGGAAGCACAGCAAGGTGAGGAGTAAGGAGGATGCAGCCTGTCACACAGCCTATGCACCAGTGTGCTCAGTGCCCCTTCCTCTGGCCCTGGGAGTGGGTGACGTTGACAGCGATGTCACGGTCCCCGGCGTGGGGATGAGCAGACGACTCATGGGCAGATAGGGGCCCACCTGACACAGAACACTCAGAGACCTTTTATATAGGTGCTTGCTTCATCAAAACATAGTGTCACTTTCAGTGTCATACCAGGCATGGTGGTGCACACCTGTGATCCCAGCACTCAGGAGGCTGACGAAGGAGCATCACCATGAATTCAAGGGCAGCCTGAGGTGCATAACAAGACCCTGTCTCAAACAAACAAAAAACTTTCAAGCTGTCACCCGTGAGACACTCAGCCAGACAAGCTCCCTGTTAGGTCCAGCAGTGGGGTTGGCCCCGAGGAGAGCCCAGCTTCCCCTCCATAGGGTCCCACACAAGGGAGGAATGGCAGAGATTTATTGTCACCCGTTGGGCAGGACTTGCCATCTGGCAAGGGACAGGCCACAGGTGCGGGGGCTCAGATCAGTACAGGCTGGGGAAGGAGCCATGGGCTGCCCTCTGGGAGCAATTCATACCCCTTCCAGTGTTTCATGGTGGGGTGGCTCTGGGGTACCCTGACACAGCTCTGGAGCACGACAGACCCCAGTTTCCAGGCAGTCTGTGCCCCATTTCTTTAGGCTGTGCGACCTCCGTGCCTGAGGCCATGGGCACCTGGCATTGTCCCATCCTGGCGCCTGCAGGTGGACACTGTGCCGACCTCCAGGCTTGGCTGTAGCCTGGGCGGCATGGACACCTGTGGTAGCTGGCGTGAGGAACTCGGGGTCTCCTTGCTGGCACCCAGCAGGGAACACCCCATGTCAGCACTGAGCCCAGTGGTCACGCACAGCCCAGAGCGAGCTGGGCACCCTCTCCCGCAGTGCTCACAGCTGGTGACGACTCAGGGGACGCCCCACACGTCCACCTCACACCAAGTGCAAGGGCCTGGGTCAGTGGTGCTGCCTGGGGTCCTGGAGAAGCAGTGGCTCCGCATCATCCTCTGGGGCCCAGCTGGTGGCTACGGCCAGGCTCTGCATGGCCTCTTGCTGATGCTGCCGTGCCTTGTTGTAGAGCAGGACACCCACTGTCACCAGAACGGTGCCAACAGCAGACAGGCTGGTGATCTTGTTGCCAAAAACGATGATGCTGAGCCAGATGGACAAGGCGTGCTTCACAGTGCTGGCCACGCTGCAGACAGGGCAGGGGGCACTGTGACCACAGTGCTGTGGGGCCGGGGAATGAGTGGGGCCAGGGGCCTGCTGCAGGCTCTCCAAGGATGCTTTTTGTTATGCAAACATTGAAGCAGAGAAACACTGTAACCAACAGCCCAATTCCCACCTGATGGCTGGCCACAACACTGTTTCATTCTATCTTTGGAGTGAAACAGGAAAGTATAGACAGTGTAACATTTTGCCCCTAAATACTTCACCCTCTTTTCCAAAAAGTAATAAGTCCCTAAAAAACAACAACAACAACAACAATACCCATCCTAGCCTGAGGAGGTGGCCCACGCCTGTCATCCCAGCACTCTGGGAGCCTAAGGCAGAAGAATCACAAGTTCAAGTCTACCCTAGGTAAGTTAATGACTGAGAATAAAAAATAAGGGCTGGGGACACAGCTCAGCACAAACTGGTCCTGGGTTCAATCCTCAGGACTAGTAAATAAATAAATATCATGTGGATGATGAACAGGAACAGACTTTCTAAGCTATACAGTGTGACATCTGTTTTATGTCACTCATCGCTCACATTTGAGAACTCTGAGTAATGCTGAGGTCAGTGACTGAGTGATGCTAGGGGAGGACATGTTTGGTTCTGTGCAGATTCTGTGCCCTTCTCTGAGCAGACAGAGCTTAGGTGTGGACTTTGGTCTTGGTCTCAAGTCCTGGAACCAACTGCCTAGCCCCAGAGGGAAAACTTCAGTTGTTCATTCTCTTATACCATGAGGAAAACTGCTAAAAGACATCTTTGGTTTTCAGATTATTTTGAGCCATCATTAACTGGGACATTTGAACCTGCAGTTTCCTGCCTGACACTTTTCTGTAGAATGTCACCTGTTGCGCTGAACAGTTATAGGGCTTAGTGGCAGGTGGTATGGCCCACATCCATATTCCTAGTTCTGGGGAGGCTGAGGCAGGAGGGTCACGAATTGGAGGCCAGCCTGGATTATACAGTGAGGCCTTGTCTCTAAGAGAGCTCGAAGGAATAGGTGAGAATTTGCTGCACTGACGTGGACCCAGTGAAAAGTGGAGAGAAGCGGGAGATGCCAGGCATGGTGGCGCACACCTGTGAGCCCAGCACCAGGAAGGCCAAGGCAGGAGGATCAGCATGAGCTGAAGGCCAACCTGGGCTACATACTGAGTTCAAGGCAGCCTAAAGTACCTAGTAAGACCCCAAAAAACCCCAAAAGAGAACCAAACAAAAGCAGCAACAGAGAGATCTGAGCATGGCCTGCAGCAGCACCACCTGGCACGTCTGCTTCTGCTTTCACAGTCAGGGACCTGGCCGGCTCCCCTGGGCCATTTGGAAGGCAGAGAAAAGGCTACCGAGCTGGCCAGTACATGATGCGGCAGACCTACTGCTGGGGCCAGCACCAGAGAGAGCTCACTTCCTCTGTCTGCCATCTCAAGCTGCACACCCACCACGCCTGACCAGTTAGGGAGGTGAGAGGAGGCCCATCTGCCCCTACCCCGAGTGGCCAGAGGGGCGCCCCAGCCTCACAGCACCCAGCATGAACAGCAAACCAAGAAAGCACGAGCTCCACTCCTGGCTGTGCTGCCCACAGCCCAAGTGCTCCACGGCACACAGACAGAAAACACAAGCGACCCAAAGACTTTAAGTAGAAGCTTCCTGAAATCTCAGTGCTGGTACCAAGCAGCCCAGCCCATGTATGACTACTCGTAACTGTGGGGAAGAAGTCAGGTTTCCCCGAAAACCACCCATCCCGGCCTCCAGAGGCAGCGCACCTGAAGGTCACAGGAGAGATCTTGCCCATGAGGGCGTAGGCAGTGACGCTCTGCAGGTGGAACAGGGCGCCGTCTGTCAGCAGCAGCAGCACCACATCCTGACTGTAGCGGAAGCTCCTCCCGCTCCTGCCGATCACAGGCACATCCTGCAGCCAGAACAGAGGGTGCTCTGTGGCCTCATCTTGGACACAGTCACCACCAAGGTGATGCCAAGTCACTGGTACAGGGCCAGGGAGACACCCTGCAGCCTGCTGGGCAGCAGTTGGATTGCCCTTGCCAGGACTTTTTTCTTTCTCATCTGTTTTGAGATAAGGTCTTGCTACACAGCCCAGACTGGCTGCCCATGCAGGATGACCCCCAGTCTCCCAAGCGCTGGGGTTACAGGTGAACCCCACCACACCTGCACATGCAGATGCTGAGAGCTATGCAGCCCATGACCTGGGTGGTGGGGAAGAATGGATAAAACTCCCAGCAACGCGCCACTTCCCCCCAGGACAGCCCCTGAGACAGCCGGCCATGGTGGCACAGGCCTCTAAACCCACACTTAGGAGGCTGAGCAGAAGGACTGCAAGTTCAGGTCCAGCCTAGGCTACGTAGTGAGACTGTCTCCAAAAAAAAAAGCTAATCCTGACACAAAGACCCAAACCCACGCACTTGAGGTCCCACGAGACAGAAAAGTAGGACATGGTACGGGGGGGCCAAGGGAAGTGGCTATGGAGTGCTGAACAAGGACAAGTGTCGCTCTGGAATGAGAACAGTCTAGGGGTGGGTGAGGGCACACGGTGTGTATACTTGGTGCCACCAAGCTGTCCACTGATTTAAGATGCTCCAGGTGTGGGGCACACGCTGGCAGTTCCAGCTATTCAGGGGCTGAGGTAGGAGCGTCGCTACTTCACAGCCACAATGGCAACTTCGTGAGACCCTGTCTCAAATGACATGAAGAGGCTGGGGATGCAGCTCAGTGACACTTCTGGATTCAACCTGTGGTACCTCAAAAAAGAAAAGAAAAAAAAATTTTTTTTCCATTTTTTTGAACTCACTAAGTAGTCCAGACTGGCCTCAAACGCATGGCAATCCTCTTGCCTCGGCCTCCCTAGTGCTGGGATTATAGGTGTGCGTCCCCATGCTTTGCTACAAAAAGGAAAAAATTTTCACACATGCAATTCCAGTACACTGGGAGGCACAGGCAGAAAGATCCAAAGTTTGAGTCCTGGCTGGAAAACTTAGTGACTTGGTGGGACCCTTTCTCAAGACAAAAATTAAAAAAGAGCTGGGGGTGTAGCTCAGTATGAAGGCTGTACGTGCAACCTCCAGTGCCGCAAGAAGAAAAAAAAAGTAAATTTTACCGTGTATATCATGGATTCAATACATATTTAACTACAAAAAATCCACACACGGAGCCTGGGATTTAGCTCAGTGGTTCCACCACCTGCCTTGCAAGCGCAAGGTCCTGAGTTTGATCCCTGGTACCAAAAAAAATCCACACACAGGTTCTTTCAGTCAACTATTCATTCCAGAAAACATCCCAGAGAGACACTCACTGTGAGGTGTGTGTGCGTGTGGGCAGCACCAGCCTCGTGTGCAGCCGAGAAGAGGCGCCCCTAGCGGCAATGTTGGGCACAGTGCACACCACAAACAAGTAGAGGGACCACAGTAGCCACATGTGATGCCACCACGTTCACAGTGAAAACAAACCACACAAACCTAAAAACTCACACAGGGCCAGAGATTTGGCCAAGTGGCACCATGCCTGCCTCACAAGCACAAGGTCCTGAGTTCGATCCCTGGTACCAAAAAACAAAACAACCCATACAAAAAAATCTCAGAAACCTGGGTGTGGTGGTGCACACCTGTGATCCCAGAACTTGGGAGGCTGAGACAGGAGGGTTACCACAAGTTCAAGTCCAGCCTGGGCTCCACAGTAGTTGAAGGCCAGTCTGAACTACATAGAGACCCTAGTACGATGAGACCCTGTCTTAAAAAACAGAAAGAGAAAGGGAGAGGGAGAGAGAGAAAGAGATAAAAGAGATGGAGAGAGGGAGGGAGGGAGAGGGAGAGAGGGAGGAAAAGAAAAGAGGAAAGGAAAGGAAATCTCAGCAAACAGTGCAAGTCCATGAGGCCTTAGGCACAGCCACATCCAAGAGCCCCTCAGTGGTGGCCTCACTCTGGTGTCCCAGTGGACAACAGCTGCCAAGCAGGCAAAATTAACCGTTCTGCTCCTGCGAAGCCAGGTGTGGTGGAGCGGCCTGGAGACCCACCATGAAGAAGATCCAGGCAGGGATGAGCATCACCATCGCTGCTGCACTGGTGTAGAACTGCAGCTCTGGGGCCCTGCGGGGACAGGGGATGGGGCCTCGCACACCTGGGGACGGGGGACGGGGCCTCGCACACCTGGGGATGGGGGATGGGGCCTTGCACACCTGGATGCCGAGGACACATTTGGCCAAACATAATGAAAGCCAGGCACCCAGCCTGCTGTCTCGGGGGTGCACAGCTCCCATGAATTTGAGCAGCAAGCTAAAGGACATGGGAGATGTGCCAGGCCTGGCAGGGCAACGCACAAACTCCCCAGGGGCTGGCAAATGGGGTCTGCTCACTGGCAATACTCACGAGAACCGGTACTTGTCTCCGCTGAGCAGCTTCTTGGAAAAGACGTTCTGCAAACTTGAAAAAGAAGAGGCTGTACATGGGAGCTGGTGTGGCCAGCTCAGTGATTTGGGGAAAGATGGCACCAGAAGTCACAGGCCTAACTGAGTGAGTCTGGACCTGAATGTCCGCAAACCCAGGTGAGGGCACAGGTGCAGCCTCCTGACCCCATCCCGTGTCCCCATCCAGCGCCCAGTGCCCAGCCTCACCAGTCCATGATGTTGGTGGACAGTGCAGCTGAAAAGCCCAGGATATTGAAGCTGATCTCAGTGGCAGTGCACAGCGCCAGCCCTCCCATGACCGGGATGAGGGACAGGTTGACCAGCAGCCCTGGCAAGGGCAAAACACACGTGACACAGGGCACAGGTCCTGGGACAGTGTGACTTCTGCCTTCATTATAAACCTGATGCCCTCGCCAGGGTGCTGGGAAATAAAGCAAAGAGATTCCGTGTCTGTAAGGGCCCCGAACCGTGTCTACCTTGCTGCCAGCCCCAGAGCAGGAGGTATTCCCAGGAGGCTTAGGGCCATGGACAGTGAGATTTGGAGCCAGCATGGTATGCTCAGTACACCCTTCTGGGTTGACCCCTTGTTTCCTTCTGAGTAACAAAAAGCCTTATGTGACTGATTTTAAAAATCTATTCAAGGGCCGGGAATTTAGCTCGGTGGTTCTGCCACCTGCCTCACAAGCACAAGGACCCAAGTTCTATCCCCGGTACCCTCTCAAGAAAATCCATTCAACATGATGAAAATCACCTGCACATACTTATTTTGAAAAAAGGATACCAGACACCGTGTTGTTCTTTCATTTGGGTATGTCATTTACTTTTAAATTCAAAGAAAATGAGAGTTTGAACTTTTGTGTGTGTGTGTGGTACTGAGAATTGAACCCAGGGCCTTAGCACTGAGTTTCATCCCCTGCCCAATTTTTATTTAAGTTTTTTTTTTTTGGTACTGGGGATCGAACTTGGGTCCTTGTGCTTGCAAGGCAGGCGGCGGAACCACAGAGCTAAATCCCTGGCCCTTTATTTGTTTTTGAGACAGTGTCTCAAGTTGTGCGCGGGGCAGCCGCCGCAAAAACAGAGCTAAATCCCTGGCCCTTTATTTGTTTTTGAGACAGTGTCTCACTAGTCACAAAGGGCTGGAACTTGCCATCTTCCTGCCTCAGCCTCCCACAGTACAGGACTACAGAAGTTTGCAGCTGCCTTTCACTGTTTAGCAAGAGAATCTCGGCCCTGGGAGGAGCCACGTCACCCCTTTCAGGAAGCGGCTCCCTCACTCCATCCATCACTGGATGTTGCTGCCCAGGGTGGAAATGTAAATCCTGAGGAGGCCGCCTCTGGCTGGCAGGTCCTGAGGTGATGAATGAGCAGACCCAGCCGCAGCACATCCCCAGGGCCTGAGCTCAGAAGGGACCAGACCCAGACCAGAGAGCCCAGGTACCAAAGCCTGGTGCTCACTCGTCCCACCCCACAACTATAGGGACTGCTCCTGATGCTACTTTGTGGCCACCTACAGCACTGCAGTTCCAAGAGTCTGCTCCCACCTGCTCCCCTTCAGGCCCTGCCCTCCGGATGGGTGTGGCACACACACCAATAGAAGGGCTTGGGGTACAGCTCTTTGTGAGCCCTGGGTCCATCCCAGCACCTCTAAATGAGTAAGTGCAGGCCAGCAGGGCCGTGCTCTCTACCTTGCTAGAGGCCACCTGCAGTTGCTAAGGTAAAGCTGAACATTCTGGTGGGGTACAGAAGCGGTCGTGGGGGAGCTTTTAAGACAGGGAGGCAGCCAAAGAAGGCAGCAACACGGGAAGATGGAGGAGGGCAGCAGCCACCTCCCATGGCCCTGGAAAGTCCACTGACCACCCTCTGGCCTCTCTGAGGTCAGGACCAGCACCAGGACGTCTGGCTGCCCCAGTTCCTCCTGGTCTCCCACTCCACAGGCCACCACGGGGATGGCTGGGTGCATAAGGCCCAAAGGAACACCTGCTCCAGTGACCGACGGGGGCCACCTCAGAAGCCACTGAGCCCAGAGCTAGTGCTGGGAGATGGGGCGCAGTGAGTGGAGGGGGAGGAGGATGGGGAGCTGCCACAGCTCACCTGTGTACTCGCCCAGGATCATGCGTGACATGATCACCGTGAAGATGGGGGCAGAGCTCTTCACAGTCTCTGCAAATGACACCGCCACATTCTTCAGGCTAACCAGGCCCAGGACCACGGTTGCAAACCTGCCAAGAAGCCAGGTAATGTCGGGACAAGTCACCTAAAGTCAAGAGCTCAGGACAAGGACCCTGACCCTCACCAGCCAGCAGGAAGCCCGGCTGTGGGCTCCAGCTGGGGCCCAGAATGTGTCCCCCCAAGAGTGACTGTGGCCTCTGGCCAGGTGGCCCCTGCCTGCCCCACAGCCCAGGCATCAGAGTCCAGGCTGCTCAGCACAGTCTGACTCAGGAGCTGCAAAGCCAAGCCTGCCAGGACGTGCTCTGGAGCCGGCGAGGGAGGGACCCTACCTCATGAGGCCCACGAAGAGCATGGTCATGATGAAGTTGGGTGGGTAGGACAGCCGCGGCTTGTGCTGGTGGAGGCAGCAAGGGATGAAGGTCTTGGCGCAGCCGATGAGCGTGGTGGACAACATCTGCACGGCGCCTGGAGGAGGCCCGGCGTCAGCGCCCACCAGCGCACCCGCCCGCCCCGCCACCTGCTCACCTAGCATACTGGGCTCGCCCTCCAGCAGTGACAGGATGTACTTGTTGAGGAACAGTGTGCAGAAGCTGAAGAAGAACCACAGCGTGAGGTAGGCGAGTGCCCGAGAACTCCACACACCCAGGTCCGACTCGATGACCGTGGTCTCAGTGATGGTGACAGTGAGCAAGCTTCCCTCTGCGCCACCCTCGCGCTGGGAGAAGAGGATCTCACTGCGGTGGCCAGGCAGCGGGGCCCAGGTGAGCGGTGGCTTCCCTTTGGGTTCTGCATCAGAGCTGGAGCCGGGCTTGCTGCCCTCCGGGGCCAAGGGCTCTGCCATGCTGAGGCCACCACCAGGAGGATGGAGTACAACTCAGTGGGGCTGGCATGGGTCACAGCAACTGCCAGCGGTGGGGACGCAAGCAAGCCTGGCAGGAATGGCCCAGGAGGCACAGAAGCCAAGGCCAATGCTAAGGAAAGTAAATGCGTCACCTGTGGGGAGGAGCATTCATGTTCTTAGCACTTTGAACATCAGTTGAAACAGCTTAAAACCCAGAGACACCAGAGCTGGGCTCAGCCTGCCCGGAACTCTGGGGCTCTGCCCTCCCCACCCTTTCTCCTAAATTGGGTTTTGTCCTCAGACCCTAACCCCTGCACACACCTGGTGTAGTACATGGCTTGGCTCACTCCACTGAGAATGGTTTGTTTGATTCTGTTTTGTTTTGTTCTTTTAAGAGATCTTTTTATGTAGCCCTCACCGGCCTTGAACTCATGGTGATCCTCCTGCCTCAGCCTTCCCAGTACTGGGATTACAGCTGTGCAGCACCACGCCCACCCATTCCACCCAGGTTGGGTCCCCACCAGCAAGCTCAATGTGTTTTATGTCACACGTTTCATGTATATCAGCTTTTTGTTTTTTGGTATTGAGGGTCAAGCCCAGGGGCTTCATAATGAACTACATTCCCAGCCCATTTATTTTTTAAGACAGGGTTGGGGCCAGGGATAGCTCAGTGCCACCACTTCTCTTGCAAGTGCAAGGTCAATCCCTGGTACCAAAAAAAAAAAAAAAAGACAGGGTCTCACAAAGCTGCTAAATTGCAAACTGGGCCCAAACTTGATCCTTCTGCTCCAGCCTCCCAGAGTGCTGGATGACAGGCATGCCTCTGGCTCATATTTCCTATCCATACTGGAGTCTCCTGGTGGGGCCTCTCCGATGCCAGTGCCATACACAAAGCGCTGGAAGCCAAGCTCACGTCTGTCTTGCAGCTGCAATCTGGTGGCCCTGCCCTGTGACACATGCCCAGAGGATGTGATGGGGATTGAATAGCTGGGGACTAGATGAGCGCTCCATGTCCTGGCTCTCACACAGCACAGGACATGTGATAAAGAGACAGAGGAACTAGGCATGAGGGGCGTACCTGTGATCCCAGTGCTCAGGAGGCTGAGACAGGAGGACTGCAATGAGTTCAAGGCCAGCCTGGGCTGCACAGTGAGATCTTGTCTCAAAACACACCAAAAAAAAGCACAAGGACCCGAGTTCAATCCCTGGTACAAAAAAAAAAAAACCAAAAAAAAAAAACACACCAACCAAAAGCGGGGAGGGGACATAGCTCTGTGCAAAGTCCTGGGTTCAATCCCCCTGCTGAGCAGTGCACAAGTCCTCTGCTGACAGTATGGGCCTCAGGCAACCATGTGCCCGTTCCAGGTTTCTGGTAGGAGCCCAGCCTTAGACACCACTCTGCTTACCTTGCCACACTCCATCCTGGTGCCACCACCTGTCCCTGGTGCCTCTATACAGTTTTTCCTGTCCCTGAGTCCTCCAGGAACACGAAGCTAAAGCGGCTCCACCCCAGCACCCGTGTCCCTGAGACACTGCACCAAACTGCAGAGGTCATGACCCTGGCTATGATGTAGCTGGAATTACAGAAGGAGGGGAGGGGGAGGAGGAAAGGAGGGGGAAGTGGGGGCTCAGATCCTCTGGCCCATGGCAGCCAAGGGACAGCACCCAGGGCTGTGTTCAAGTCACAGGCTGTCCCAGCCTGGAAACACCCCACAGCAGGAAACTGTCTGGATGCAATTTCCCACAGTCCCAGGGAACAGGGGAAATGGACACAAGGCCTTGCAAGGCCAGCTGGAAAGAGAAGTGCTGGGAAAAGCAGTGGCTCCTCCAGCTCCAGAAGTTGGGTCACTGGCTTCTTTCGTTACCAACAATCAAACAAAACAGCACAACCTAAATGCAATCACCAGGAGAGACAAACAGCCACACTCCAGGAAACAGGCAGACACCTTCCTGGGACAAAACCTGGACCGGGCAACAACAGGACTGACAACCTGCTGTGCTGCTCAGAGCTGCTGGGCAGAGCACTGGCCTGGGTCTAGGAATCAAAGATTGGCAAGGTCAGGGGCAGCATGACTCAGGATGGCCGCCGGCAGCTGCCAGAGGTGACCTCCCTAGGCAGGAGGCCCGGTGGCTCGCAGGCAGCTCGGTCGTTCGTCTCCTCAAAGTGTCCACTGGATGTCATTTCAGTCCCCAAGGCCACCCCCACTTGAGAGGCCATCACCACCCCGGGATATACTATCTGGGTGGGCTCCAATCAGGGCCCCACAACACCCCCTCACGCGCAGCTGGGGGACAGGTGGGCACCACCCCCTGGACGCTGTGGCTCACAGTGGAAGGCCAGCACTGTCCTGGGCATCCCTGTGCAGCACAGCCGCCTATCACTCGCACTGTGATGGGAACCAGGGAAGAGGCCAAGCATGCCTTGAATTCTGACCCAGGGCCCAGAAGCACCCTGGCTGCCACCAGTGTCCTGGCAGAGATCCCAGTGGCCATAGCTGCCTCTCTGGGGAAGGTTGGGGCAACAGGCTGTGGGGGTCCTGGAGGCCAAGGGCAAAGGTTGTGGCGGGGACTGGAACCCCGCTACTCACTGCAGAGCACTATACCGCCCCTCATGCTCACCTTAACCCAGGGTGGAGCAGGTACCTGTGACCAAGGCCACCTCCCACTGCAGGTGCCACCATGTCTGGAAGGGGACCCACAAGCCCCTGGAGCAACCCCACAGAGTGCAACCTGAGAGGATGACCAAGTAGACCCCAAAACCCTGCTGCTGCACCTTTTTCTGCTAAAACCCCAGGCTCTGTCAGTTCCCTGAAGATAGTTTTTTTCTAGTTCTGGAGATTGAGCTCAGCACCTTGACATTGAGCTACATCTCCAGCATTTTACTTCTTTTAGGTTATAATTATACCCCTCCATCCCTTTGAAAATTTTTTATTTTGAGACAGGGTCTTGCTTAGTCACTAAATTGTGCAAGTTGGGCTCCAGATTGCAATCCTCCTGCCTCAGCCTCCCAGAGCACCTGAGGAGTCGGTTTGATACCAGGATGATGGGCCAAGTCAGAAAGAAAAGGTCCTGCATGGTAGCATACCCTGTAGTCTCAGCAGCCAAAGGCTGAGGCAGAGAATCACCCATACCTAGGAGTTCAAGGCTAGCCTGGTCAACACAATGCACAAGGTCCTGTCTCAAAAACAGCAGTAGTGCGCTGAGCGTGGTGGCCTACTCCTATAGGCCCAGCACTCGGGAGGCCAAGGCAGGAGGATCGCTGTGAGTTCAAGGCCACCTGGGTCACACAGTGAGTTAAAGGCCAGCCTGAAATACATAGTCAGATCCTGTCTCAAACAATACAAAAAACAAAAACAGTAACAAGTAACCCACAGGCAAGTTACAATCAATAATATCCATCCGGCAGCACTTGGGAACTGGGCAGTGCTCTGATGTGGTTTCTTTTTTGGCAGTAGTGTGCTTTATTTCTTTGTACCAGGGACCAAACTGGGGACCTTCCACTTGCAAGGCAGGTAGTGGCACTGAGCTAAATCCTCTGCTTTGTAGTACCGGGGATCAAACTCAGGGGTGCTTTACTCCTGAGCTACACCAGCAGCCCTTAAAAAAAATTTTTTTTTTCATTTTGAGAGGGTCTTGTTAAACTACCTAGGCTGGCTTTGCACTTGTGATCCTCCTGCCTCAGCCTCCCATGTAGTTGGGGTTATAGGCATGCGCTGCCACACCCAGCTCTGTCCTTTACTCTGATTATAAGTGAGGCCCTGGTTAGAGTCCACACTCAGAAGGAAATTCATGGGGTCAGAGGTCATTGTAGAAACTCTACGACTTTAGCCCAGAATGAAGGGTCCATGCCCTTTCCTGCATGGCCCAGGTTAAAGCAAATGGTGGAATAATGCATGGTGGCAAAAATGAATCATACACAGCAAGCCCCGAGCCACTGACACAGCCATCTCCACAGGGAGGCCAAGGAATAGGAGGCAACCTTTTCATCCCCTCAGAGGGAGAGCAACAGGAGAGCAGGCAGAGCACAGGGTCTGGCCCAACCTGCACCAGGGTCCCTCTCACCAGGTCATGTCCAGGGGCCTGTGGCCAGCTCTTTTTCCTTGACCCAGGAGACACCAGCTCCTGCCAGAGGGAAGCAGTTCTTGTCCTGCAAGACACAGATTGTCAGAAGTGATCTGGCAACAACAAACTGCTTCTAACCTGCAGAAGCCAGGCATGGTGGCACACACACATCTGTAATACCCCCACAGGGAGGCTGAGGCAGGAGGATCTCAAGTTCAAGGCTACCCTGGGTAACTTAGCAAGACTGTCTCAAAATGAGAAATAAAAAAAAACCAAGAGGTAGGGATGTGGCTCCATGGTGAGGAATGCCTAACATTTGCAAGGTTCTGGGTTCAGTCCCTAGAGTAGGGGGTAAAAAAGCAAAAAACAGTGGCCAACCTCACTAATGAGGCCTGGAAGCTAGAGCTGGGCATGGAGAATTGGCTGCCTACCCTGAAGTCACCAGTATAAAGGTCTGACTGTATGGCTCTCCTGGGCGACAAGAGCTCAACACAGATGAAAGCCAGGCTCCCACCAGCCATGCACAGCAGCTGCCCCGATCCTTCTTGAGGACCGCAGCCTAGACCCGACGCTGGACCAGGACGGGCAGTGATGATGGGATGCCAGCACAACCTGTGACTGACCCACCTCGGACAAGCATGCAGCCAGGGTAGGAATTTCATCCTGGAAGAAGTGAAGATGTTCCCCAACTGCTGGGTGTGAAGTCTGCATTGACTCCAATCCTAGGAGTGACAATCTCCATCCACGTCCGCCTGGGCTAAACCAGAGCCTGACCCCGGGCTATGTCCTCAGCAATTTTTCTGAGACAGGGTCTCACTTCGAAGTCCAGACTGTGTAGCTCAAGCTGGCCTCAAACACACAGTGGTTCTCCTGCTTAGCATCCAGGTGCTGTGATAATAGGCAGGCATGCAACACCTGTCTTTTTTTTTTTTTTTTTTTTTTTTTTTTACTAGTACTTTGAGACAGGGTATTGCTAGCTTGCTAAATTTTCTGGGCTCGGCTGGAGTTTGCAACCCTCCGGCCTCACCATCCTGGACTGCTGGGACCAGCGGCCTATGCCACCATGCCTAGTTCTATGTGTCATTTTAATATGCCCTCCGTGCTGTTTAGTAGTCTCATTCTGTTTTTAAAATGTTTACAAAGTTTATTTCTAGTATAGCACATTGAAATCTCAGCTGCTGGAGCAACAGCGGCCAGCTGGGCACTTTGGCCAGGACCTGGGTTAAATGAGGGAGGGTGGGGTCTCCACAGCAGTGTCTGGCTTTTGGTTTTCTTCTTTTACAGCAGCTGGTGTGATCTAGGATGGGAGCCTAAATGCTGTGGGGAAACTGCCTGCTTGTTAAAACGCCTCATAAACAACCTTCACAGAAAAGTCAAGCTGGGTACGTGATACACACCATGGATCCTAGCAGTCTAGGAGGCTGAGGCAGGAAGATTGGAAATTCCAGTCTAGCCCGAGGAACTCAGACAGACTGTCTCCAAGAAGACAACAGAAAAAGTTGGCCTTGGGTTAAGAAAAAACAAAACAAAACAAACAAACAAACAAAAATCACCTGCTTACTAGGAGAAGGCAGGTCCAGGCCCTGGGTCCGCCCGGGTCGCCAGCCTAGTTCAG